TGATTTCATGGGCAAAATAGGACGGCAATAAATGCAATGTAATTACAGTCCTCCATACTGTCAAAAAACAATGCAATCAACATGTTGATTAGGCTTAGTAATTTTTTCAGAGTATACATTTGGTACTGAACATTGTCCGAGGTTTCAGTTGATTCCCAATAGTGAAATGTCATCAGAAAAGCCAAAATACAGCATACCGTTCTTCTACAGCCTCCAAGTATCAATAATTAATAATAATTCATGTGTGTTTGGTTTTGCTCTGCAGGTAATATTGTAACTCCAATATGGGAAAGCAAAACAGCAAACTACGCCCTGAAGTCATGCAAGATTTGCTAGAAAGTACAGACTTTACAGAACATGAGATTCAGGAGTGGTACAAAGGCTTCTTGAGAGACTGTCCAAGTGGACATTTATCTATGGAGGAGTTTAAAAAAATATATGGAAACTTTTTCCCTTACGGGGACGCTTCTAAGTTTGCAGAACATGTATTCCGCACTTTCGACGCCAATGGAGAYGGAACAATAGATTTCAGAGAATTCATCATAGCCTTGAGTGTAACGTCGAGAGGAAAACTGGAGCAAAAGCTGAAGTGGGCATTCAGTATGTACGACCTCGAYGGGAACGGCTACATCAGTAAGTCAGAGATGCTGGAAATCGTGCAGGTATGTGCTGCTCACAGGCACCCCTGGGCTGCCTCCTTCAGACAAATTGCAATGTTGCACTGAGACACTGAATGAAAAACTGGCAGCGTTGGTTTGTGATCTTGTATAAYTGTTTGAATACAAAATACTATTTCATTTGGCAAAGATCGTGTCACAATTCAAATTACCGCATTTAATATCCACTGCAAGCTCTTTCTGAACAACAAGTTGCATAGATATTTTTTCCCTAAGAGCTCTGTTGGGCTGGGGCACAGCAACTAACTTGCTGAKAAATGTTATTCTCTATCACTGTCAATTACCATTAATTACAGTTGAACCAAAGAAGTATATTAGAACAACCAGGCAGTGTACTTTTAGGGAAGGCAGGCTCCCTCCACAAGAAGAAGCAAATCTACTTCGAAATCGTGTTACTATGAAGAATCAGCTCACATATTATGAAGGTATTTTGTCTGCCTTATTCCAGTGAGATTTGCATTATTAGAATCTTACTGGCTGGCTGCATACTGAGTTGCCAGTATCGATAAACCCTATCTGGGTAGATGGTGGTTCCATACAGAGCTTCTTTGGTTGTGTTTTCTTGTGGTGTTAGTAGGAGTCCCACGTCACTTTAGCTTCCTCCAACATGTTTTTGCCCATGAGGCACATCACTCCACTGGAAAATTTAAAACATTTTTAATATGGCAGTGTATTTACACAGCTTGAGTCTGTATAATGCAGTACTGTTAAAAAAAATTAGAAAAGCCTGTTATCAAAAGCCTTTCCTTTCCCTGGAAATTTTGAAGCGTTAACAATGTACTGTGTTATTCAGACTCATATTTGTGCTGAAAACCAAGGGAAAGCAATACACACAAACAACAGGCTATGGTGGCATGCTGCATGAAGGGAGTCAGCCTGATGTGTGGTGCTTCTTCTGTCTTTCTACCAGGGCCCTTCTCACGTCTTTCAAACAGTGGCCAATATCAGCAAGACSMGATCCAAAGCTCAGCTGCAAATGTRGAGTTTCTGTGTTGTCTTTMACTTCGTCTGTTTTGTGTTCCTATGTCTGAGTTGARCAGGACCTCCCTGTCTCTGTGACAAACCCCATGGAATACTTGCAYTAGGAGATCCTCTGTTCCTTACAAATCTTCCTCTCCCCCAGGCAGGRTAAACAGCCTGTCAATTATTGTTTTCCCGGCTGTATTTCTCCTCATGAGAAAACGAAAAGAACCCCAAAAGAGCTAACGTGGTACTCAGGAAACACAGGGAGCCAAACGCGGGTGACTGCCCGCTCCTCTGGAGAAGGAGACACCCCAGGGGCTGCAGGAGCCCTCGATGCTGTCAAGGAGCCCAGCAAGGCACCGCACAGAGAGGCAGCACAAACCCCCCGGGAGAGGAGATTTACAATTGGGGAACAAGGCCACAAATATGTTTGTGTCAAATGAAATTAAAAMCTCAGTGGCTGGATTTTCTATAGTGAGCCAAACGAGGACCAGCAAAGCTGGAAGCTTTTTTCAGTTATCCCAGAACAGCCTGCCAGCAAGTTKAGAGGCTGAAATGTTCTGCCTCCTCTTCATATTCATGTCAGTACCAAATCATGGCATTGCCCTTTACAGCCATGATGCCATCATCAATCAAAGTTGCAGCTTAGGGGTCAGTGACATCCTGTCACCGTGTGCATCCAGCCCCAAGCAGCACTCCGGCCGTGCACAGCCCTCAGCCTGGTGCTCCAGACATCCCACTGCACCTCTTGGCAGGTTTGGCTCTCTCCTCCTCTCAGACTGAATGTGAAACTCAACTGCATGGTGCTTGTAATCTCACCTCAATTTGAGGGACCAAATTTTGAGGGGCCACAGAGAAACCAATTATGGAAGTGAACAGTCTAATTGAGCCTGAGAAATAGTTACTTCTGCACATGGACAGTCAGCAACTTTTCCATCAGGAAAGCTGCCCTTTCTGTGATGGAGCTTCCCCTAAGGCAGTGTGCTTGTAGATCTCACTCCGTTCTCTTCTTTTAGGTTTTTTTGGATGCAATGGTCTCCCTATACTGCTCTCCTCACCTGTAGCTCCTCCCAGTGGGATGGGATTTGTTGTGTAGTCTCTGGAAACATGTTCAGCTGATAGCTGAACCTGAAGTAGATGAGCATATTTTCTTGCTTTGTTGAGAGGTTACTTTGATGTAAAGTGATTAGATACAAAAAGCCAGCAAACAACTATCACTTTCATKTATGAAAGATGATTATTTTTTCATATGGAAATGACAAGATTCTGTATCAAATGTCTTCCTGGRGGCCCTCAGCTGTCACAATTTTTCTGAGAGAGAAAATCAGAACTCTGACATATCTCTGATATATATATCTCAAAGGAACCTTGTCTCAAAGGAACCTCAAGAGGAYTTGCAAGTCCTCTATCAAGCATACATTTGCAAATTGATAGAGCAGGATTATGTTTTCATTGCAATTTTTGCCTGAGACAATACATCAGAATGAATGCTAAAAGAAATGCCATTACTCTAAGAGTCTTAGTTTCACAGAAAAATACTGTCCCTGTTCCTGTGGGATTACTGTGTTCTAAACAGCACAGGGGCAAGGCACACCTTTCTTCTTTTTTCAACTGCTTTTCTTTGTGCTTTGAAAGCCCTCTCTCTGCAATGATTTTCACTGTTATGCTGTGAAATGCATAAATGCTTCCTTGCATTTCCTTTCCATTGCTCTGGCCCAATCTGACAGCACTACAGGCAATGCAGGCATTGCACTCCTGCTCAGCTCTGCATCAAGGAAATTGAGATTACAGTGGTGGCAGCAGCACTGGAACAGCAGAACCTCTGGTTAAGGTGTCCTGCATGAACCCTCATGGCTGCCAAGGATTTGAACGTGAATGGTCCATAACAGCCTTCTAAAGGCTGCTTTCTTTGCACATGGATGTGCTGGATGGCACCTGCATTCCTTTAAGCTCTGTACACTGTCATGCTCTGAACCATGAAGGCACCGTCCAGTGCAGTCACACAATAATTTGAGGTGGAGGAATCCACCATTGATAAAATCTCTTCAGATTTTACCTTCTTTTGAAGTAAAATGGGAATCAGTCCATGCCAAACAAAAGAGGCAGTTTCTGGGTTGCTTTCTGGTTATCAAGATGTTTGTAGAGGGCTTTRGAGCTGCTGCTTTCAGCACACACTGAGTTGCACCTTGATCCCATGTTGGAACAAGACCACGGGAACACAGGTCTCTGTGCTAATCTGGTTTCTACCAGAGGTCCATGAGCATCCCTAGGCCAGTCCCCAAAAAGCCCTGCCTAGAGATGCACATGGAGCCAACTGCACAGTTTGGAAGGACTTTAGTGGTGGGCTGACAGTTGTAGAGMCTCAAGAGAGAAGATCCACAGGGTATTGCTGCTCTCAGCAGGTGTAGCAGATCTGCATCTGCTGTGGGAAGAGCTTCATCGCCTGCCCTCCTGACAGACCTTGTCACGGTTCCCCTCAGATTCATGTCTCAGGCTTTTCATGTCTCCCATATGTTTACCTATAATCTAAATAGCCCAGTGCACTCAAAAATAGATGCAAACCAGTTAGAAGATTTGTTCCCCCTGCTGAMACAGGACATATTTGGCTAGTCTCTTAAAATAAGAGTWCAAATGGGAGATGGAAACCTTSTTCTAAGGATACATTTTTTTCACCSWATGGACTCAAAATGCATTTTGAGAATAGAAAGCAGAGACAAGAATAACACTTCCAGTTTAATAAAAACAGCACACACATTTCACTTGCTGGGATAGCTTATTTGCAAGCTGGGAAGAAACAGAAGGTAGTATGGGAAGAAGCAAAAGCTGATACGGCTCTGTAAAGACAGTGTCAAAAACCTCCATGAGATGGAGAGGAAAACAGTTTTTTCAGGCCAATCATTCACTTCATGAGACTTTTWGCCATCAAAATTTATTTCAACAGAGTAAAAAGGACAGTGTGCTGTCATTGCTGCYGTCACCATAAGGAGCATTTTGACAGTTTTCCAGGAAAATGCAGCACTCACCAAGGCTCCTGACCTGAGTGCGTCAGTGGCAGCCAGAAACTGGGAGCAAAACCTGTGTGAATGGGCAAAGGGATGAGATTTGCCCTAAAATCACCCAYTACTGCCCATCCACATGCAGTTAGAAAATCAAAGGAGAGTTCAGCAGGGCAGCAGATGAAGCTGGAGCCTGTGCTTGCTGCAGTGATGTACCCAGGGCTCTGGAGGCACAACCTCCTCGGGCTGGTGGCATTCGGGGTGCCAGGGAGCTGCGAGGAGCACCCCTGACATATCCCCTGTTAAAGCTGCCCTGCCTCAGGGCACTGCTGGCAGGTAACAACCTCCAGTGCTGAATGCCACTGATGGTTTTCAGCCCTGTTTCCATGTGGAGTGGAACCCCTGCAGCCTTCCAGCCCAGGTCCCAGTGCAGGGTTTGTACAGCCCAGCTCTCTGTAATTATCKCATGAAACCAAATTCTTTTCAGAGCTGTTTCTTTCAAACATACAATAAAGTGTTTTGTGTAACTGCATTGAATTCATATGGGGCAAATCTCAAGATTCTTAATCAGCTTTAGCTGGCTTTTACTTTGGGAAAACTTCCCAATGAACTTCTGAGTAAGGACATAAGAATTTGTCCAGAGTAACCATTTTCAGCATGAAAGGAACGCTTACTATGTTATTCCCATCTGGCTTTCCTAGAATATCTCATCTGTTATTCCCTTCACACGCCTCTGTGAAAAGGACCCTGTAGGATGAAGTCATCCTGAAGTGCTTTTTTTGTCCTAAAAATCTGCATATTCTTACTATGGTTACTTTGATCAGGGTAAACACGCCCTCGCTCCCGGTCTGGGGCATTCCTCCCACACTTTCAATGCAGATTCTCTGCTTTGCTGTCCTCTCACCCAGAGAGAGTGAGTGACCCCTCCACTTCTCTTCCTACCCCACACAAAAGCCAGACAGCTTCAGATGCTTAAACACTGGCAGATTTATAAGCCTCACCTCAGCTCTGACCCTTGCGAGCCTTGCATGCTGATGAGGATGAGCAAGGTCTGAATTCTTGCTGTCCACCCTCTCCTTGCTTTTCATTGTCTATTGCCTCCTCCTCCCAGCTCTCTCATCCCTGTGTTCATGTGCTCGTGTGTTCATCCTTTCTTCTGTGCCCCTGCTGTCAGAGTTTCATGGCTGTGTGGACAGCACCCCTGCCTGTCCTGAGGCTCACTGGGGAACCTTTGGACACTCGTGCAGTGCAAATGATGATGATGATGATGATGATGATGATGATGATGAAGCTGAAAAGAGTGTCCACCACTTTTCTATTCAGGCAGGAGCTGTTCATGCAGAAATGTTCACCTCTATTCCCCTGCTCAGGTCCATGGCCTGTGTTACACTCACCACAGGGCAGATCTGAAAATCACAGCCACAATCATGGTGACATAGCTGGGGGATAGATGCTTGATTACGCTGAGCATGAGTAGGGATAATTAATTAAATAGACAAAAGACCTTTCTTAGGGTGTAAGTCCTTAAGTTATTTAAAGCCCAGGAGATGTGAAAGGTGAGYTGTTGGCAGAGGAGAAGACAGCGAGATGGTCAAGGAGGCCGATTCTCCCCAGTCTGTGCGTAAAATGTCTGTGCTGTTTAGTGGCATCCTCCATCCGTGCTGTTGCATTCCTGGAGCCAGTTCTTGGCCATCCTGGGCCAGATAATGGGAGCTGCAAGGCAGAGAGCCTTCATGGGGGTGGAGCAGGGAGAGRGGTAACCAAGTGAGAAATCTTGGCYTGCACCACGGATGCCCTTCCCAAAGCAGAAGGAATGGAAGAACAAATAACTAAAGGAATCACATCTGCACCAAGTTATTAACTGTACTGGGGGGAAAACAGAATTTGAATCTGTGGGAGAAAGTAATCTGCATCTACAGACCAGGGCTGCAGGGAAAAGTGATGTGGCTGCAGCACGCGAGTTGCAGTGGAGCAGAAGGGGCCGGTCGGAGCAGGGCAATGCTGCCTTGGGCTGGGATGTGCTGCCCCTCCCCAGGGCTGGGATGTGCTGCCCCTCCCCAGGGCTGG